TTTATTCGTTTTGGTGCGAACTTAGTACATACAAAAAATTGCCATCTTAAGCAAATCGATGTAACGAAACCATAGCTTGCTTTTAATTGCGGCAACGCCATCTAGTTATAAAAATTGAACTAAATTAATGAATATGCATTTTATGGTTTCGTTACTTTGGTCTTGAGTTTTGGTCATGAACATGGAGCATACATACGGTGGCGGTGTGTCCTGCGTGGACTGAGCACCGCCGTGTTCTCAGGAATGTGATCGGCGTCGGCGACCTCTCGCGTCGCGCTCTGGTTCAGACCATGGTACGGAGCGAGAGAGACTGGGATGCCGTCTCCTCCTTTTGCGAAGCAGTCATGGTAGCTAAGGAGGAGGCGGAGCGCGTGAGGGAACGAACCTCCTCACCACGACCCGGCCGTCGCGAGAGACACTCCGGTTGTCGGGGATCACGAGACGATCTCCAGCCACCGTAAGCACGGGTGATTCGCCGCCCGACCAGAACCAGGCTCGAGCGTACGGCGCGTCGTGTTCCGCGCGCGCCTCAAGGAGCCATCAGACCACCATAGATGGGGCCCAACAGGGCTGATGCCGATACGGAGCTGCGGAAGACTTAACGAGTTGCCGGGGCACCGGAACCACCTAAATATTGACATTTATTATTTGATATCAATAATTATCCGTTTTTACTCGAGTATTTATCCAAATATATGAATAAATTCCCAATATAATAACTCGGTCATTATATTATTAACATCACGCATTTTATCCACGAAGGGTAGGCAGAGGTGCACACAAAAGTAACACCCACTTTTCACTATTTATGTTATGAGTCCCATGTAATAGGGGGTGAGCCTATTGCCATATAACGGGCACATTTCCAGACCCCGTGCTACTACTGAGAATTTTTTTAAAACCCAGTAATACTTTGCCCAACCCGGAAATCGAACCCGAGACCCCTTGCCCGGCGGTCGCACTTGCGACCACTTGGCCAAAGAGGCAGTCATTATAATATAATGACTGAATAAATGAATGAATTATGTATGAAATATATTTTATCTATTTTGAGTGTTTATCCTCATCGCTCATCTCTAAGAGCAATAAGTAAGTAAATCACTATCACTACATGGTATAAATTAGTATAAGACAAAGTCTCTATCCACCGTCTGTCTGTCCCTTAAGTCCCTACGTAAGCTTACGTGACTCGTAAGGAAGGTCTATACTGGGAATGTAAGGAAGATCTATAATGCATGCATATTGCACCCGTACGAAGTCGGGGTGGGTAGCTAATTATTTATAAAATATGTAACTGAGTTTTTTAGACATCTGCTTACTCATTTTGTGTAATTTTTATTTAGTTTGAACGCATCATTAAAATTTCATTTACACTGAACGCTACTTAGATTTTCCGATGATGAGGTGACCAATCAATAATCATCCATAATTTTTGGTAAATTGAAAATATTTCACAAATAAAAATCATGTATTATAAAGAATGATACGCACGAAAATACCTTTCATTTTAAAGTTTTCTTTTAATACTACAAGAAGAAGTAAAATGCTTATTAAATAAAGTCATCTATTTTTGTTTCATAATGACTGAATGATAAAGATTTATAATGATGGAAGGCAATTTTATTTTCTGCGTAGCAACACTGACAGGTTAATTTGATCTCGGCCGCGGCCATATTTGTCAAAGACAAACAAAACGCCGGTCTTTTCCACTCTGAAGCGTCTGTTGTTTCGACGCGGATAATTGGTAAATGATGGCAGCAAATAATTATTTTGGGTTTACTCATGGAGGAACCCAATACGGGTAAGTTCAATTTTGTTTTAGTTAAAAAAAATGAAGTAAACCTTATGAATGTACTATGAGAGATTTGTGATAGATGTGCCTTGTGCTCATGTTTGTCTTAATCAAAATGGCGTCCAAATTGTATTGATCGTGGGATTTTCAGAGTGAAATGTGATTTTTAAGTGTAAAGTGAGCGTGGTATTATTTTAGAGCGGCAACGGCTAGTGCGGCCTACGGCGGGCAGACTGGATATGCCGTAGCTCCAGCTGCGACCGCCGCTACTTACGGCACCCAGCGCGCCGCCGCCACAGGATACGACACTGCATACCAAGCGGCAGCGGCCACGCAAGGTACGGAAAAGCTGAGAAATTGCTTGAAAACGTTGTCAAACACGATTGTTTACACTTGTAAAGAAAATACGCTTTTGATATCTCCATAACGACTATCCGTAAAATCGATAACTCTACGACATGATTTGCCTAATTGAGTTATTGTAACATCTAAAATGGCTAGTTAGCACTGTATTGAAGGTGATAAAAAGTGGCCAGAAGTATAGTTAACTAACTGCTTCCTGTCAGTGACCTGTGCTTGTGATTCACTGGTTAGCCATATAACTGTACCTCTCTTTGGTTGGCTGACTCAGCTCAATAGGAATAAAAAGTATCATCTTATCTCATTCCATGAGCTACATTATATATATTAAATTACAGTGCTCTTGTTTTTCTAATGAATATGATTTAAATTAATGTGAACCTGAATTTTTATCACTCATTTTACGATATGATACCTGTTATTGTTTGAGTAATTAACATAATCCCTTATCCTACTACATACAAGGAATTTATTTGCAAAACTACATTTCAAATGAAAGCTCAGTCGTTCATCTTTCTAACGGAGTTAAGGTTAACCAGAATAAATTCAGGTCAAAAATGACACTGTTGGTAATGTCAAACGAATAAACAAAAATACTTAATACTGGGAAAAATTCAACATGTAGGTTTTGAAAAAATAAAAATAATAAGTAAACCATATAAATGATATTTTACAAAATGAGCAACAAAATAATTTTTCACATAAATTCCAACATACAAAACAAAAGAGAGTCTGTCGAACCCGAGAGGTCACAGGCTCATTGGAGACACTTGTAACACCACTACATGGTATAAAACAAAGTCGCTATCCACAGTCTGTCTGTCCCTATGTATGCTTAGATCTTTAAAATTGTGCAACGGATTTTGATGCAGTTTTTTTAATTGATAGACTGATTTTTAGACAATGTTTATATATACCTATAATACATGCATATTGCACCCGTGCTAATCCAGGGCGGGTTGCTAGTTTTATATAAGATTAGTATTTTAAATTCTCAGTAGTAGCACAAAATCTGGAATTGTACCTGGTGGCAATAGGCTCAACCCCTACTCATAACATAAATAGTGAAAAGTTACATTGTACAGTGGCCCAGTGGCTTAATATGCATCTCTGTCTACCCCTTTGGGGATAAAAGACGTGATGTTATGTATGTATGTTGTATTTTAGATACTAGAAAGTCTTGAAACCTAGAACTAGATTCTTTAATTAGTAATATTAGACCTTAGTCGAGTTAAAAAAACCGTAGTATTGGATGTGATATGTAATTTCACTTCATGACGCCAGTACTGCTATAACAGGTGTGATTTTACCAGCAGCGGCTCACGCGCACGCGCACGCGGCGGCGGCGGCGGCGTCGGCCTACGACGCCAGCAAGTCGGCCTACTACCAGCAAGCTGCGGCGGCCTACCCTGCCGCCGCACCGCCTCAACCCCAGCCCACTTACGACGCCACTGCCGCCAAACCAGCATATTCCACTCCAGCTACTTACGCCCAGGTAAGTCATAAAACAGTGACAAAACAACTTGTTCATTAAAATTTTTAACAGAATTTATGAGAGCATTATGAATGCTGTCTCAATCAGTTTTCCTTTATAATTTTGATAGATTTCTATCGAATCCTTGACTAAATTTTTGTCTGCGTTATTGGAATCAGTATGAAGTGCCAATTCTCAGCAAACATTTTTTAATGCAAATACCAGCTTCTACTTTATTTACTCTCATTCAACAATTTTCTTAGTAAAATGTTTTTTTATTTATTTATATGAACATTTCAAACAATTTATTCAGAGCATTAACCCAACCTTCAAAGTTTTATTTATATTGGACACTTGCCAGTTTCTATGAAACCTAAAAAAATATCTAAGATAATATTTCAGAATGTGCTAGAATCCTAGATAATTTATGTAATGGTTTCCTTTGAGTTAAAAAAATACTTTTTTTTCTTACACCATATAAATATATTTTGTAATATATTTTTATATTTTGTAATTAAATTAATACTAAGAATAAAGAATTTATAATATAAGTAGCTTGAGAAAATCAAACTATTTTGGAATCTTCTGATTTCAAATTTCTTCCTTTTCTATGCACCCTTGTAAAATGGATAATTTCATGTATCTTTTATTATGTGGCAAAATATGAGTTAGTTTAGCTTTAATTTTGGAATAGGTTCTTAAATACAATTAATCTACTATGTAAGTATATATTAACTGGTATCATGTCGTGATGAGTATTCTCATGGCAAAACCTATGTGAATGCTGAGTGGCACGTGTGTGAGGATGGTGTAATGTGTGTCGAAGTGTACTTCCATGTACGCGCAGGGCGGGGCGCGCGCGGGCGGCGGCGGCGCCAAGGCGGCCTACGGCGGCGTCTACACCGCCACCACCGCCGCCACGTCCTACCCCACGCAGGCCTACACCGCCACGCCCGCGCAGCCCGCCAAACGTCAGTATATACACGTCAACATAGGTACCGTACTCTTTGTACTACGCGACACCGAGGGACTGCGGTTTATTGTACTCTGTTACATAACACAGATCAATACCAGATGTATAAGAAAAGGGGACTCACACTCCGCCTTCTCTTAACATGCAAACCGCAATCCCTCGCTGTTGTGTATTGTACTTATTTATCTTAACCATGGAACAGTGCGCAAATGGAATGTAAATGCATACAAGTTACAATATTGTCTACCCTAGTCCCTAGTTATTTTTATTTCAATTCTAGAAAGTTTTTGGAGCATGTTTGCTTCTCCATTCCATTTGAATATCACTGAGCTCTGCCTTACAGTAAGAAAAAGACAAACTATGAAGCTATTTTCATCATCATTCACTGTAATATCTAGTGCACCGCCAGATATATAATAGTATAAAATAATTTAACTCAAGTTCATTGTTTTCTAGTGAATTTAGCATTAGCTTGTCTTCGTCTATTCGTCTTAAAGCCAGTTGAAAATTTGTTGCAAAACTATTTTACTTTTAAACTTTATTTAATGTGAATTGATTATTACTTATGACTTCATTAACTTTCTTGTTTGTAAACAGGTTTATGGTTATTTCATAACAACTTTGTTTGATAAAATATTTAATTTGTTGATCTATTTACATAGTTTGTGGTAATTAAATAATTGGCTTGTAGGCAAATAGATAATTTTCATGCTAGAAGGCATTGTAAATATTGATGTGTTGTAGGTAGGCAACAGTAAATGTTTGAAATATTATTATTTACTTCTATTTTAAAAATGATAAATCAAAATTTTATGCTAGACAAATTTTCTGCACCCCTATTGCACTTTCATACTGTTGCTTACTTTATGACATACCTACATAATATTTTTTCTAGATAAAAATGCAAGTTTAGAATTTATACTCAATATTTTTACTTATTTTCTGATAATAACTTGAATCTTTCTCTTTTCGACATAATGTTTGTTTGTAATGGGTGTAGTTCCAAATGCGATATTAATTTTGTTCTTCTCATAGTGAAAATAAAATTTTATCTTTGTTCAACATCTCATACATTTGTGACGTTACGCAGAGCCAACCAACAGAGGCAATACAGCATATGACACAGCTCTCTACAACGCAGCCACCATGTATGTGGCACAACAAAACAAGACTGGGGGAGGAACGTGAGTATACTCTTATAACTGGGACCTTTATTATTTGTCACTACACACAGTCTATTGCAAATACAAACAACATTTTTTTTTAACTATTAATGAGGCTTAAAAAGTAACAAATATTGTATAGTCTCTTGGTAGACTAAACACACTTTTCTTGATTTAAATGAAAGTCAATAGTTGAGAATAATAATTTGTATTGTAGAATAATAAACTAACGTAAAATGGATTGAGTGAACTGTATGAGCGTGAGTGCTAATGTGAATTATGAGAACGCACGGCGGACTTGATTGCCCGATACGAACTGAATCGAATAATTAGGTAAATGAATTATGATGCGGAAAAATGCTGACTTTAAATGTGTACGGTTGCACCGTACAAATATATTGATTGATATGATTAACAATGTCTGGTATTTTGTTCAGTGGTGATTTATAGTACTGATACAAGGTTTGTTTTTTCTAAGCAGTGGGTGGAAGAACTACAATAAGACTGGCGTCGGCGCAGGCCAGACTAGGCGTCCTAAACCTCCGCCCAAGGCACAGCAATTGCACTACTGCGATGTCTGCCGCATCTCCTGTGCTGGACCACAGGTTAGTTTCACTCAGTTTCAAGAGCGAAAGAATAATTCCACCATCTTGTTATGGTCCCGGCGACATGACGGTTCCATTATATGTATGGAGGTCGCATCTTGAGATGGTTGGGCACCTTTAGTCTCTCATTGGTGGCAATAGTGATTTGTTGAGGGAAAGGGTATTTTCCGCCCCTCTACGCAACCTCTTCCCTACGAGGCGATACAAGTGAGGCAGTACTGTGTCGCAGACGTACAAGGAGCACCTGGAGGGCCAGAAGCACAAGAAGAAGGAGGCGGCCGTGAAGCTGGCGGCGGCGGGCGCGGCGTGCGCGGCGGGGCGCGCGGCGGGCGGCGCGCTGCGCTGCGAGCTGTGTGACGTCACGTGCACGGGCGCGGACGCCTACGCGGCGCACGTGCGCGGCATCAAGCACCAGAAGGTCGTCAAGCTGCACACCATGCTCGGCAAGCCCATCCCCTCCACCGAACCCACCAAGCTCTCGCAAGGTAACTACTCGCTACATCCTGTCCACTCCAATGCATGTCGCTGTCAAATAATTTAATTTTTATGTGAACTATTACAAAAAAAAATATTAAATTGAAGCAATTACTTTAGAATTCAATAAAAACAGTATTATTAAATTCTCTTAATTTGATATATAAATTGATGTGTGTAATAAATATGTATGTTGCATATAAGTAGATGGAATGCTGCCTGGCTGTATATGATTACTTTATGTAATGGTGTCAATTGTCACTGTGGTATTATTAGTCTCAGCTGCTGTAGAAACTTGTGTGAATGTTATGTGCATATCAGATATGATCTCCAAGTACAATGTATGGAGAACATATTTGTTGTTGCCCGCATACGTGCTGACCCGCATCGCCACAACGCCATATCTGTATAAAAGCGCGCGTCTAGTTGGCAGATAGAATTGCAATAGTCAAATTTTCTCAACGTTAATGATTTCGGCACCCAGTACAGATATGTGGAGTGTGAAATATGGGCCTTTTTTAATTTTCAAATCCTCAAATATATTTATTGAAACAATAGTAACAAAACATACTTTGAAAAATAAAAATATATGTAGAAAAGGCCCAAAAATATCCTAGCTGTTACCTGTTGGCTAGCAAGTAACAAGAGAAAATTTGACTTTTCCAATCTATCAGCCAAAAAGACGGTGGCCGGGACGCCGAAGATAGCATTCGTAGCGTCCGGCGGGCTCAGTACTGTCGCGGGCACTTCAACCAAAGAAACAATACCTGCCCAAGGAGACAAAGACAAAGACGGAGACGACAAGGACGACGACGCAGACGCTGAGCCAGAGGTGCAACCCGTCGGACAGGACTACATCGAGGAGATACGAGGAGACGACGGCAAGGCACTCAGCTTCAACTGCAAGCTCTGCGACTGCAAGTTCAATGATCCCAATGCCAAGGAAATGCATATGAAGGGCCGCCGTCACAGACTGCAGTATAAGAAAAAGGTAAACACACTCAATATCATATTAAACGTAAGATCGTGCTAATATGGTCAGGTTCAGTGATTACTTAGTAAAAGGTTTGAGATGCGCGTGAGCCTGGCCGATCGTTGCGATTGCCAAGAGATCCGCGCGTCGTATGATTAAAACTGCGAATGAGAACCTACCACCTATTTTGCAGTAAATACAAAGCTTCTTATGAAGGGATTTCGAGTAATGTATTAATATGCAGGTACAACCGGACCTGGAGGTGAAGGTGAAGCCGTCGATGCACCAGCGCAAGTTGGCGGAGGCCAAGGCACAACGCATGATGGTGCGCGACGAGATGTGGGCCCGGCGACGCATGCACGATGTATGTGTACTGAACTTATTACTTGTTATTTACATCTTAGTTTATCCATAAGGTCTTATCAGTACGGTATTTAATGTTGAATGGTAGGGGTTCGTGGGTGGGACTTTTTATTATTGTATGCTTCTATATATTTGATGTTTGTTTGACAGGGCATGGAGGAAGAAGACCGTATGTATTGGGAGGGCGGCATGGAGCCATGGTGGGGACGTGGACCAGTACCGCCGCCCATGCATCATCACCATCATGTAAGTGTTGAGTGACATGGTCGTGTGTAGTGAGCGAGGAGAGTGGTGTATACGAGGTCGTGTGCAGGGCATGGGCATGCCGTACGGCGGCGTGGGGCGGCGGCCCGAGACGTCGGACGACCGCCACGTGCTGGGCAAGCACGCCGACATCTACCCGCCCGACGCCCAGCTGCAGGACATACAGCGCGCCGTCTCACACACCGAGAAGGCGCTCAAGTCGCTCTCCGACGCACTCGCTGAACAAGCCAAGCCCAAGGTGACACTGTCTATACTTTATATGTCCTATACAAAAAAAACAGAAATGAAACCGATGTTATAATTTTAATTTTATTAATGTTAATTGTTATTAGGTTGTGGGTAAACCTACTAAACCTGAAGATCAAAAAATTGAGAAACCAGACGGGAAAGAAGACGGGCGGGACAATCAGTTGTAAGTAAGAATGTTGTATGATGTCGTGGGTTGGTATAGTGGTGGTACAGCGGCACGGTCGCAGGTTCTCGTTCGCGGGCGAGGGCGAGGCGGGCGCGGGCGCGCGCGCGCTGAAGGGCGCCATGCGCGTGGGGCTGCTGGCCAAGGGGCTGCTGCTGCGCGGCGACCGGCGCGTGCGCCTCGTGGTGCTGTGCCACGACCGCCCCACCGTCACGCTGCTCAAGCGGGTCGCCACCGACCTGCCCGCGCACCTCCACAAGGTCAAGGTACGTCTACTGCCACACAACACTTCCATCGTCATATCAGGCCACTCAATATCATTATGGAAATGTAATACATGCTCATCAAACCATCCTGATATACATAAAATCAACACAAAAAGTAAAAACAAATATACCAGCTTCTAGGCTTCAGAAAATAAATGGTTCAACAATAATATTTTATTTGAAGCTATGAAAATAAATTTATAAGTGTCAAAAAAAGTAAATTCAATAATTTAGTAGTAAACTGAACACACATGAAGTTTAAAAATATAAGACTACTTTAAGACTTGGGAATAAACAGCTGAAACGTCTGCACAGGTCATGTTGACATGTTTGTAACATAATAGTAAATTTTTTTTTTAAACGTAATTTGGCACTATAATTTGTTTTACATTTTACATTTCTTTTAATTTTTTTTAGACCTGGCCTCGCCATTTCCTTTCTAACTACCTATGTTATGACAGTTTGAGTATTTGTGTGACCCACCCGACTGTTCTTTTGGTTGGTTCTTTGTATCAGTCAGCCTCACCTGATTGTAAACGGACACACGCATACTACCGTCAGAACGGGTCCGCTCAAGCTGTTGTGGTTCTTTCCTCAAAAGGCCACTACAGAATAAACTTGCACGGTTCTCGCACATAATCTTTTATATACATATTGCCTGGACTTAAAAAGAGACGGACCTTTGAGTTTGTTTCGGCATTTCTTCTCAGAGTAGTCAGTTAGGAAAAGGCGACCTCATCGTTCGCTTGTACTTGTAACACTTGTACATGTCAACGTTTCCGTTGACATGTACAAGTGTTGCCCGTGGCCTATGAGCCTGGATACAGTGGTGTCGCTGCAGGGCGGCGAGGAGCCGCGCTACAAGGTGGAGCTGCAGGCGGCGGAGGGCGCGGTGGTGGTGTCGGACGGCGCGGTGTCGGTGCTGGTGAGCCTGACGTCGGCCGTGATGCGCGAGCCCGCAGGTTGGTTCCCGAGCGGTACGCTACGATCTTCGACGCCGCCAATTTCACACACACACCTCTGTACTCTCACTTCTGATCGCTCCTGGCTTTTAAGTGTTTTAGACAAAACTTAGCGTGCTGACAATAGGCGGACGAGTGGAATTGGTTGTCGAAATCGTCAATTTTAACTCCACCAATCGGAGGTCCAGCTCAGAACAAACTATCTAGATCACGGTATATCATATATTTTATATTCTTGTATATGTATTTTACTAAGTATTTTTGTGTACATCTCTGAAGTATGACGAAAAAAAAAGATAATTTGTTCAAAGTTTACGCCCGGCGCGAGTCGTGCTGGGCACTGTGTTGAATGCTTATTTTTAGGTGTGAGTAGGTAAGATCCAGCGAGAAGAAAAGGATTTTTGATCATCTATTTCGATATATCACGTGCGTCGACTCCGCACTGGTATATCACTCACTGAAACGGAGCAAACATTTCCTTTATATCTATCACTATATATTTATTATTTTCTTTATTTACGATTCTTTATCATATCCGAATCCGATTTAGGACTAATTGCATTTGAAAGCTTTCATAATAGTATAAAATAATCTGACACGAGCCTTGCATAGACACTCCATGATAATATAATACTGAATAATGTTGCCAAGTCCCGCTTGTATATATTCGGACCCCGCGCTGCCCGGCCTGGGTATGCATGCGTTGAGTAGCGCGGGGTTTGGTTCGGGGTCAGGTGCAGGGTCAGGTCCCTTGTACTGATGTTTGCCCCGGTTTCGTCGATGTGTTGATGGTCAAACACCCTTTGTGTTGTTGTCGCTAGACGGTGGCGACATAAAGCGAGACGACAAGGATGTGCTACCGCGGCAGAAGTGTTTGGACGCGTTGGCCGCCCTTCGGCACGCCAAGTGGTTCCAGGTACATCGCCTAACTTATACGTGTGCGCACTCCACTCACTTGCTAACTAAACTACTACTTGCCCTATGGAAGCTACCGAAGACTCCGACTGTCTGTTATTTATTCCCGAGTCATTGTTGAGTCGAGCTTTATATTTTTTTATTAAATTGTATTGCGGGAGTGCGCACGTATTTTTAGTCACATGTTTATTAACTTCAATCATATAAAGTAGTGAAAGTTTTCTTTAAAGTAGATTCAACCTGAACTCCCATGAACATGTGGCTACAGCTTGTTATGTGCCCAAACTGCGTTTCCTGGCACTCTGTAGCCATAAATGAGAGGAGTCATGTAAAGTGGAAACGCAGTTTCTCGAGTTAGTCGCATTTAGTGGCTCCCTCGAGCGTTCGTGACGATTCCTTATGTTCAGGCCAGGGCCGCCACGCTGCAGTCCTGCGTCATCATCATCCGCGTCATGCGCGACCTCTGCCGCCGCATTCCCAACTGGACTCCGCTCAATCCCTACGTGAGTATCTCTCTGACAACACATCTTTATACTTTGCTAACGTATTAACATGTAGCTTGAGAAAGAAGTGAGTAGTGTATTATTAGCAAAGTAAGTGAGCGTGTGGTTGTGGTATATGCAGGCGATGGAGTTGTTGGTGTCCGGCGTGATGCAGTCTGCGGGCGCGGCGCTGTCGCCGGGCGAGGCGCTGCGCCGGGTCATGGAGGCAGTCGCCGGGGGACTGCTATTGGACCACGGACCTGGACTACGGGACCCATGCGAGAAGGAACTCAACGTACGTATGCAACACACGGTCTATTACGCTTCCCTGATTTTCTATTTCTCGAAGACACTGAATGACTTGCTGTCTTCTAAATTTCAGGATGCTTTGGGTAACTTACCACCACAGAAACGTGAGGATCTGACTGCTTCGGCCCAACAATTCCTTAGACAAATTGCCTTCAGGCAGATACACAAGGTAAAATCATGATTTTGATGATGATGTGATTGGCAATATATTGAAAAATATTCAAAGTTAAACATAAAACTGTGTGTTTAGGTGCTAGACATGGAGCCGCTGCCTAAGCTGAAGCATGCGACGGGAGCCTGGAAATTCCCGCGCAAGCGCAGGCGCTCCAATACTGACACTGAACCTGACACGCCCAACGGTAATTTACTCAGATACCCTCATTCACTTTCCTTATTTAACTTGCGATTACCCTTCGTTATTGCGATGTGATGTTTCACACTTTCATCCCTATATAATTAAAATAGGGCTTCAAGCCATATCACACTACTTTTTTCTGAGCCTTTTAAATAACTTTGGATATGATGAGACTTGATGACGAGTCGTAAAGCGTTCGAAATCTGTTGAGCTAGCGACGGCGTCGAGTTATTCAATGCCCCGCAATGTTCTTCGAAATTCGATCGTTTGCTGACGACATGGCACTCTGATCTTAAAATTTGTCTTATACAATTTACTCAGTAAAACGAATGGCAATTTATATTTAAACAATATTTATGCTTTTAGGTGAAGGTAAGGTTGTCAAAACAGAAGAGAAGACGGATGCATCGGAGAATCCCGCCAAGAAGTAACGGATAAGAGCACCTGGAGCCGTGCGACCATTGCTGCGTATCGTCCATAGGCCTGTCGACTACGCGAGCTGACGAACTAACCGTTCTGAATACAAAGTGCGGCTTCACAGACCTCGTAACTTCATAAGGAGGATCGATATCCATTAATTGTACATTAGTTAACAGAAAATCTATCTGATATTTTGTATTATGTGTATGGGTTACACAAAGTTTATTTTTTGGTCACCAACACGTGGTCATGATCTGTCCAAAATATTTTAGTACACATAAATAAAATGCCGCGGTTTACAGTAGTGTTAAATATTAGTTAGGTTTAGAATATTCTAATGATGTAGGTAGTGTTAGCGTATGCGAAGAGACAGGGATAGTCGGATTGACGATATACTGATCGCTGTGAAGGAATTGTCATGTAAATGATTGGATTTATAGAATAAATGGATCATCTTCGGACTAGCAATTCTCAAGGATTAAAATATTTGTAACATTGTAATGGATGTGTATAAAGTTTTGTCTTCCAAAATGTTGACGAAGCTCACATGACCTCGTTGATCACTAGTCCGCAGGTAGTCTCGAGAGAGTAGGGTTTCAGTATTTGACTTTATTCATATTTAGTTCCTTACCTGTCTGGCCACGCTAGACACAGGTATGTTCTCCTGCAAAATGCAGTTTAATTTTATTATACGATTAACCTATTTGATTAGTTTCGTAAGGTGTATATTTTTGTGTATGTATTTGAAAACGCTGTCTTTTATGACGACGATTTGTAAAAGTATACATAGCATTGTATCAAGAAATTGGCATCAAGTTTCGGCTTTGATTCTATCTTCATCGGAATCTGAAATAATGTCGAGTAATGTGGCAGTAGTAGTGTTATCTAGTACCAAAAGGTACTTTGTTTTACTAGAATTTCATGTAGAAAAAAATAGTTCTTCTGGTGTAGGCAATAAGGACAGTTGTATTGTAAGCTAATGCATCTGACATCTGAAGTATGCAGTCGTCACAAGTGATTATTACATTTTGTAAACATTGTTGAAGTTGCAATAATTGACGCCTTATTTGTGTATAGTCTACATTACAAAACCTTCCATTACATGTTACTGTTTCTTTATAGTAATGTTACACGAATTAATGTTTTTTGCAAGGCACGAACATTTTATATTATTCAAATTGATGTCTAAAAATCATCGCACCATATATAAAAATTAAAATTTGGTGTGATGTAACTAATATATTATTACTTATTTATAAAAATAGGGTTAAATGTTGTGACCCTTTAAAGTTTAGATAGATTTAACAAATAATCCATTTCGGACTAGATTCTGTGAAAATGTTTTTTTTTAAACTACTTTGGGAGATTAAATGTCAATAAAGATAATGACGAAGTTTATTTTGGTTTCATTTAACATCGTTTTAACATTAGTGTCCCTAAGGCCTTTACCTTAAACGCAACACAAGATAATTCTTATTTCTGGCGCTTGTCATGTTGAATATATTTGATGCTAACAACTACCATTAACAGACTAATCCAAACCCAGTGTTTTACACATACAAATACTTACAATAATATATTTGAGTACTTACCTATAATTACAACTTACAAACCTAGATACAATAGAACAAAGTTTCAGATAAAAACAATTAAGTTCTCCATTAAAAATATATGTTTGGGTGTAACATTTAAAACTAATTAACTCCATATGTACAAATATCATTTAACTTAACCTAAAAACAAACAGTATTAAACAGCTATTAAAATAAAACATAACATCACGCCTTTTATCCCCGAAGGGGTAGGCAGAGGTGCACACAGAAGTAACACCCACTTTTCACTATTTATATTATGAATGAGTCCCATGTAATAGGGGGTGAGCCTATTGTCATATACCGGGCACATTTCCAAACTCCGTCCTACTACTGAGAATTTTTTAAAAACCCAGTAATACTTTGCCCGACCCGAGACCCCTTGCCCGGCAGCTGCACTCGCGACCACTCGGCCAACGAGGCAGTCTGAGAGGCATTACGCGGAAAAACGTTATAGAAAGCCGAAACAGACTCGTGTCTGAAATCGAGACCTCTTTAGGGAAAATATCTGATTGGGGTAGACTTTGGTCCAGTTTAACCCCACTAAGACACAGGTCTACGTGTTTACCGCTAAGAAAGTGCCGTTGGTCGTATCTCCTCAGTTTCAAAACACCCCCCTGAGAAATTGTTTGACCTGCCGCATCTTTTCGCCATCGACCCTCACGACTGTGTAGCTATGTATAGTTGTGCCACAACTGTGCGCTTCTCACGTAACTTTCTGCCTCGCACACCAAAACTGTGGAATGATCTGTTGTCGGCGGCATTTCCGAACCGATACGACCTTCAAACCTTCAAGAAAAGAGCGTTTTCCTTTTTAATAGGCCGACAACGCACCTATGACTCCTCGTGTTGCGGGTGTCCATGGGCGGCGCTGATCGCTTACCATCACATGATCAGTCTGCTCGTTTGCCTCCTATTCCTAATTATTATTTCCTACTTATATTTAGCAATTCTTATTGAGTTAATGAGGAACTACTATATCGGAATAAATATGGTGAACTTCTGTTGTAGTTTATTATTGGAACTAGGTATGTACCTAAAACTACAATACTATCGATAACTTCGCTTCACACTAAAAAGTGAATGAAAGGATGTATCGTGAAATACCACTTTTTTAGGAATAGGACCTTCATATCAACTATTTCAAAATCTAGGGTAGACAATGGACATAATTATATTGCTAGCTCTCAGAGTATTTTGGAATTCAGGTTTCTAGACGTAGGTAAATGAAACAAAGTTATTTGGCAGTTGTATATATTTAACTATTACAGAATATTTCTTTACAATAATTTCTTTGTACAATATGGAGATAAAAATCTGCTTGTGTTCAATAAAATAAAATGCAACACAAGATTAAAGTTGTCAAAAACGTGACAAAATATATATCTTTACAAAAAAGAGGCCGTTTGGAGGCAAAAATATATTACATGGTCACACTATACAGGTAATTACAATAGTATACAATTACATTACGATGTCGATGCATATTTATTTCTTTATAATTATACCAACAATAAAGTTAAGACTCATATGAAATAAGTTATTGTTTATTCAGGACGAACAATTTGCATTTTATTCCTTTGAACCACAACATTATTAATAACCAGATGAAAAAATTAAGTACGCAACTAAATTACAGATTTTATATTGATAGGCAAAGCGAAAATGTAGTCTTAAAATACTGCCAAGGAGAGATCAAAATATATTATGTAGGTATATCTGAACAATTTATTTGTACGTACACGAAACTTGTAATCTTACGACCAGCCTCAATAACTCCTGTGACTTCTGTGAGTAGCTTGGCTGGTTTTCACAAATTCTGTAGAAATTACATCTTTATAGTCGGAAATACCAACAGATACGTAATTGAGACTGGCTGTTAGATTTTAGGACGTCCACATGGCAGTGATGGTTACAATAGTCCAGATATAGCCCGTAAGTATAACATTGCCTAATGGCGTGTCTGGACCTGATAGTATCCACGCCGGCACAAATGATTTAAATCACAACGTGGATCAACTTCTGTTCATCATTCGAAATTATATAACCCAGCGCGGTACCGTGTTACGATACGTAAGCCAGCTAGCTCCTTTCCAATTAGATGACGTTTAACTAATGGTATAGGACGTTTTTATTAATCTATTTTTTGTAAGAGTACCCTAAGAGCAGGACATAGCAACCTTTTAACTATAAATACATAAATGTGCGTTTTGGACATGTTAGTTGTAGTATTGTCTAGGAGCTAGGTTTATTGAGATAAAACATTGGGATGTCACTTGTCTTCAAGTCTTATAGGTATTGTTTGAAAATATTTATTTCCTGTTTTTTTTTTTACATCATTCACACAAGAGTAGCCTGGCGTTAAAGGAAACTTGGCTTAAGATGCGAGCTCTTGTTGGGGTGTTGAATATACACATATTTTATATTACATCAATAGGTGTGGTCACAACACCTGCAGCTTCGATGCAAAGCAGAGTTGTGGCAACGTCCAATGGCCGTAATAACGGTATATTTTATGGGTTGGTAAAATATTGCCTTCAGCTACCTTTGCAAACCAAACCCAGACATGATTTTTTTTGTATTTTTATATTTGAATAAAACACATAATTATTATACATATACATTGATTTAAACAACCTGTTTAAAAAAACAGTTCATAAGGAGGCAGATGGAAAGCCAACAAAACATGCGATAAAATTTGAATTGTCAAAATAATTTTTCTCAGAATTTTACACTTTTTATACATTTTTTTTTATATTTTTTAGTTTTTTATATATTTTTTTTTGTTATTTTATGGTTTTATTTTTTTGGGGGTTTAATTTTATAGTTTTTTTTTTGTTCTTTCAATCGAGTGTCGAATTTTTTTATATCTTTTCAAAAAATCAACTGTTTTGAGAGACACTTTTCTTTATAACTCTAATCAGTTTTCTTACACATAACTTGTTTTTAAAAATTATTTATTGTACTTTAATTATTCAGCGCGGCCAAGTGCCTCTTATGTAAAATCTTTATAAAACTTATAGATAACGCGATATAAAATGCCAGGCGTATTACATCAAGTAGTGTCAGTGCTTTCGGGCTATGAGGGACAACGTCCGGATGGTGAACTTCATAACTAACATTACAAAACAAAACTTAACAATTTCTAGTCTACGTAAACGCTAGTGGCTAGTATTGTAAACTTAACGAAACAATTGCGAGGCATCGATGCAAACATATCGGTAGATGCCGACCTAACCTGAATAATATATCATCATCTAACGACACGTGTATAACACTAAATTATTATCCAAAAATTTAGAAAACTATGAACTTTATTAAACAACCGAATTTTGATTCGAGTTCATGCGCAAAAAGCTGTAAAACTATGGCCCAGTAAAAAGTGAACAGTTCATATTGTCATTCTATTATGACGAATGCGGTTGCGACGTCATAGTTCATAAGGTACAGAATTCCTAATCTGGGCAAGTAATATTTTTTATACTCTTTGTATTACTTTAAAGATATGCATTGTTAGTATCCTCACATATAATTATAGGAATTCTGCTAATCACATAGTGGTACAAGAACGCATCAAAACATTATTTTACTCATTTCTACCCATTTTACGCGCGAAAAATGACAATAGCTAATGGTAAACGGAATTTTGACGCGGTCTTGTGGTAATACAAATGATCAATATTTTTAAATACATTTATAGCATGACACATTAATTTATGTTTTTCTCAATTTGAGAAAACAGATAAATGAACATGTCGGTAACAAGTAAATTATTAAATAGGAATATCTAGCGAGGAAAGATTATAGAAGGCGTATTGTATGAATTTGACAAGACTTGGTTATAGTATTCGTGGGACGTTAGGTTTATCAGTTCAAGTCGGAAGATGTAGTTTGACAGTAGCTTACATTTACAGGAAACATTGTGTAAATACATTTTATAAAACTTGTACATGTCGTTGTACGGAAGCCTTCAATAATCTTATAGTAGTCTAGCATCTGTTACGTTACAATGTATATTAAGCGTAACTCAGCGCCAAATATAAGGCAACACAATGATTTAGCACCATTATTTAAGTTTTACGCATTCTCCTGTACCCTAGACACGCCCCGCCTCGTGGGCAGTGAGAGACAGTCGAAGCCCTGCAGTGTGACAAGGTAATGTCCCCGCACTGGCCGCCACTGCCGCCGGGTGCGTCTCTCGTATCTAACGTTTGGTTATTGAGCCGCAACCGTTGCGTTCGGAGCGTAGTATCTAATTGTAGCACCTTTAAACGATTACTTCAATATCGAACACTGTACACGTACACAATATAATTTTCTTTCACATAGTATCACAGGGAATTTTTCGTGTCCCATCGTACGCTCTCCCACATATATAACGTCTCGCGAGCGGGTCCTGGCTCCCTCCACGCAAAGCATGCATCGTATAATATATTATTCTATATAATATATATTTTTTTGTCATTTACCCTTTCCTCATCACAAAAATACTATTTACATAAAAACCATACACGACCCTAAAATGAATATTTATGTATTTTTTTATTTCTTACTATTTACACGTATTAAATAACTTACAAATAAACAATAATAAACATTTTAAAAACGAATAGGACGCCTGGTCGAGGCTGCGTGACTATTTGTATTGCGACGGTCACAGGTCACAGAAACTGACTACTTCGACTAGTGAACGAACTCGACTCTACTTGTGCGTCGAGTCTTGTCTCAGTCTTGGGACGTGCCACGACACGACACGTGTACACGAGGCTACTGACGATTTGGTACACGCACTGCGCCCGCCGCCCGCCGCCCGGGACCGGGCCGGGGCCGGGCCGGGCCGGGCCGGGACCGGGCCCCGGTACTGGCGCGGAGTAGCACACGTTGGACGTCGCGCGGTGCGGGCGAGTGTTGCTTGCGTGGCGTTTATCCAAACATTAAGTTTTGAGGTATAATTTTTATTGTGACAACTGAAGTGAAGAAATGCGCGTAAAGCGTGAATTAATATAATTATATTTTCACTTAACTTTGGTCCGAATTGAGCACTGAGTTTACATTGTGTTCTATTACATAAATAATGTCTAAAGAAATAATAACACTGCGATTGTTACAAACTATTGGTTTACACCATAACAACAAAATGGAACATTCAAGTAATTGAGATCTATAGATAGGCAAATGAAAATGACAAAAGCTGCATGCCGGCTTTTGTACATTCTCTCACTTTGGTAAAGTAGTGCATGCACGTCGCCAGTACAAGTCCACCGTTACACTCCCAGCCACGGGCCGGCTCGTATCTGGCGGAGCGGCGACTCCGTCCCCAACGGGAAGCACTAAGACAGTGGCTTCAATAAAAATGGCACCTCAAAACGAAGCAAAATTAACTAATAAATACATGGCACTATGGAATGTAAACATATAATTTTCATAGTGGCACATTCGTAGTCTCTAGTACAATATAAATACTCAACTATAGTTACACGGGTTCACTCGCGGCGCCGGGGCCCGCCATCATCGCTGCGGCCAGGCGTCCGCCAGACGCAGCCCCGCCGTCAGGCGCGCCGCCGACGTGCGGAAGGTGGACACGATCTTGTCGAAGGACTCGGGGTCGTAGACCGAGCGCGCCGTGTTGGTGAGGTCGAAGGGCTCCTCCACGCACAGCCACTTCCACTGGTGCGGGTCGTTCTTGTGCGCGCGCGCCGCGCGGCACGCCGCCACGGGCACAACCGACACGGCCATGCGCTCGAACGGGAACGACGCGTAGTACTGCAGCAGCTGCACGAACAGCTCGGCCAGCGAGCTGCGGTTGGGCGCCCGCCGCGCGCCCGCGCCCGCCTCGCTCGCCCGCGGCAGGATGGCCGGCGCCGTGCCGCCTGCAACGACACCTTGTAGTAGGGGATTTACTTTATATTCAACATGACACTAAGTTTTCCCCATATGTTAATCTGACGCGCTCGAGTAACTACCGAAATCCCTTCATGGGCTCCCCTACTATTGTAGCACCGCGCGCGCCGTACTGTGGCATACGTACACTGCAGGAAGTGGATGACCATGAGCGTGAGCGAGTAGGACGACAGCGTGCGGTGGCGCGCGTCGTTGATGTCGTGCGCCTGCGCCCACAGCTTGGTCAGCGCCACCAGCGGACGGACGCGCCAGTCCACTGCAATACCAACGAAACGACTTTCATTCATTCTACCTTTCAGGATGATTTCAACAAATACACTATAATTAAACAACGATTACATAAAATAAATGAAAAACGTATCTAATACAGAATTACAGACATACTACTTAATTATTATTAAACAATCACTCTCCATCTGCCTGTTCCTACGATCTCTTCTTTTATTCCTCAAAATAAGTATTATTGATAAATAAAAACGTAAAAAAAGCAGTAATCTTAGTCTAAGACCAGAAGTCAACCGACTTCATTTATCTAAATGGTTCTAATAAAAACATGTCACCGTCGAATCTTGCATCTTGCAACATCGTTCACAGATGTCATACTCACTTCACATTATTCTATTGCACAAGACATGTTGCCATAGATGCAATAAGTACAAATAATTCGTCATCGATACCTTTTATAATAAGAATAACGTTGTAAATGAATAATGTTCAATCAATAATATTGATAGACTTGTCCAACTTGATTGACGACGGTATATCTGTCACTGGACGTGGCCTGTGATTACACTTCATACATTATTGTGTTGCAAATGTTTTCATTTACCCTGAGTTTGAGTAGTCTTATAGTCGTTAGATACATACATATAATTTACATTGTTATTCTGTTTGATAGACGGTTTTCTACAAATAATGCATGGAAGATTTATTGGGTACAAATAAAAAAAGAAGATACTTTTAAAAACAATTTTGCAAGGTCTGATAGTTGCAAATGTCATGATAAAATTTGCCTTATTAATAAAATTAGATAGTGCAAATGTTTATAAAAAAATATTTTTATTGGTATTTTTAGTTACCTATTTTGAAAAATAATCAAGAATAAATTAGTGGTATAGCTATACTATATTTGCGCAATGATTTGCTATGTTTGAATTTGGTGCCACGGTTGAATAAGTTGAATTAAACCTCCTGAAAGTTGCTTCCTTTTGTGAACAAGTCATGTTGGAAAAGGAAGCGGCTGAAAGGGAGAGAGAGGCGTCAAGTCCTCTCCCCTCTCGCCGTAGACGCGCCGGTCGTCAGCGCCGTGAAGCGGCAGCCGATCTGCGACCTCCATGAGAGGAGAGGCCTGCGGACAACTGACCGGCGGAGTCAGACGTCCGCTATATAGGCGGGAGTAGGCGTTAGCGTAGTGTTCCACGCGCGCTACTCGAAGAAGGAAAGCAGCCTCCTAGGGCCGTTAAGGTGGCGGGACCTGTCGCAAACATAGCGGTAGGTCGAGGCCTGCCGGGGGTGGTGATTCCGTAAGGGCAACCCGGGTCACGGTCACAGGCAGTGAAGGAACACCGCGGTGGTTTTAGCCGGTATGAGTCCGGCACGCCCCCTCGGCGCGGGAAGTCCATTACGTCCGCCCTTTTTTCAACGTCCTTGGCTACATTAAAAGCTTTTTTCATTACTAAATTAAAACTTATTTTACATACCTGTTTTACTCTGGCTGCAGCTCTAGATCATCTTTTTTGTAAGATAGCAGTATAAAATGTCCAAGTTTATTACATAGTGCTATTACCAAGTCAAATAACCTGGAATATAATTAGTTATTCACGTTATCAAGTATAGTACTCACGCCTAGAATAGCAGTGCAGTAGATTGGTGTTTCGTATGCCGACGACGTTGTTACAGTTGAGGTCTACCTGCAGACCGTTGCGGGAGTCTCGGAACTTCAGTATCGGCACCTTCGCCTGGATCAGTTCCGCATCTAAGTGCACCACAGTGGGGGGATAATTATAACTGTTTACGATTATTATGTAAGTCATTCACATGTACTGGGACCGTATTATTAACTAGAACTGGTAATTGTAAGGTAAGGAAAAGTACCTTATCGAAAACACAATCGTAACTTGTCTGACGTCCTTAAGTGATCAGTTGATCTGTATGTTTGTTTTGTTTCCCATAAAAAGCCTAACAATTACGTAAACCCGACAGGGCGTGAGTTTGTACAAAGCGAAAAACACAAATACTTAGTTGCAATAATTATGTTCTTCAATCAGAATTTTTTCTAGAATTATCTATACTAAGATGATTAATAAGTTTAAATTAAGACATTCATCATCGCAAATGCATAAATTAATCATGTTTTATATGGCGTAAAACGCAATGAGTTAGCATTTTCATAATCAGTTTCTAACTATACAGATAACAATTATTTCATATGAAGTCTATAGATTTCATAGATCAGATTTGTTGCACAATTTTCATACTTATTGTGAAATACAGTGATCGTGTTTTAAGAAAATCCATGCCATCTGAAACAAATGTAATTAATGTGTGTGACACACAAGAGTGATACCATGGTTTCACAAAAAACCGATGTGAAACCACTTGCATTGTATTTCCGAGGTTCCTGATGTTTCAGAGAGCCAATCTTTCTCCAAAGGTTGGCAATGCACTTTTACTTCCTAGGGTATTTTTTTTAAGGGGGGAAAATCATCAAATGACTGCTCCTGCCTGGCGGCTGAGGCGGGAGGGAGTGTCAGACTCACTGACTAAAAACCACCCCGTTCCTTCTCCTGCACGTCGAGCCGGAGCCCCGGTTACCCGTGAGGTTCTCCGCGACACTTCCTCGGGTATTGCAAGTGTCTTGTCCAATCAATTCTATTGAATTTCAGTCAAAAACCTAGATGCCTCGATAGACATTTTTTAGTAAGAATGGTTAATAATTTCGGCGTATAATGTAAGATAGTAAATGTATGCTTACTAGGATCGAAGCTCCGAATGTAGCTAAGTATATAGTTGAGATGCAGCAGTGCGTGTGAGCGCGGGTCCAGATCGTCCACGGGCCGCACGTACAGGCAGAGGTCCATGTCGGACGAGTCCAGGCCGAAGCCCGACATCGTCGAGCCCACTACGTACAGACCGTAGCGCGGGAATATTGTCTGGAAACATATTTCTCGTCATCAAGAGAAAGACAAATTGTTCAAGATCTCCTTTAGCTTTTCTAAAATAGCTTTAAATCCATTAGATCTGGTTCGCATTTGGGTCACTGAATAATAGGAAATGCCTGTAGCCTATAGCACAGTGGTTAGTTGCAGTTTTACAATAGCTTAGGTAAAGGTTCATTGGAAGTTTTTGAACAATTTTGGTTTTGCTTGCAGTATGTCATAGGTATTTATTGTATTTAATTTTAATAAATACTTTAAACAAACCTTTATTGTGATGAAAAGATATCTCCAAAGGTTCATTTTCTTTCTGAATGTCTCCTCTGTTTGCTGTGATTTTATGAACTTATCCCAGATTTCTTGAGACAGTGTGTCCCATTTTGAACCTAGAAGTATTAAATGTATATAAACAACAAGTACCTTCACTAATATATGCTTGAAAGTCGTATGCTACAGGAACATGTATCGTCAGTAAACAATATAATTAAATTTTTTTGTTTGATACTATTATTTTGTCTGTATAAAATAACCTTGAACTTAAACTCTTGTTTTAACACGTGTTTATAATTTAATATTATATGTATGCAAATGGCAACTATTATCACTTCCTTTGCATATTACTGTATTTTTGTCTTGTTTCCAAATATTTTGTTTTAACCCATTAACATATTTTGTACATTTGTGTAAATAACAAATAAGACGAAAATTGGAATAATTGCCATGTCTCATTTTAATAATAAAAACGAAGAAATTAATAGAACTTATTACATCCCGAGTCGATATCTTTTTTAGTTTTGGCACTTTTTCACCTGTCAGAAATATGTATTTGGTTTTGGATATAAAATCTTACCCATTGATTGATGGTCCATTAAACATAAGTGACCAGCCCGGCGGGTTCATCACTTATTTGCATTAATTTGCATTGCTTGCAGCTAAGACAGCGAGAACTACGGTTGGATGCGATGATATGAAAGTCGAGCTCAGAGGTGTGTCCATTGGAAAAGCCTGTGTCTGACAGTGGTCAGAAACAGACCGATTATGGTCATGTTTTATGTGTACATTGTCTGCCATTCATTCTCTACTAATCAACTGCTGAGTAAAGCGTAAAGCAGGAAAGTGTTACACTAGGTTTTGAAGATCCCTTAACTCTAAGAGGGGCGGACTTAATAGTGAATGACATTCTCTATCAGTCAACCGCAGGATGATGCAGAGAAGTGTTATACTATATAATTATGTACTTAGAAGATTTCTTACCACACCACTTACCATTCAGCAAGTCGTCGGGCGTAAACTTGACTTGGAACGGGTAGGAGCCGTTGAGATACCTCTCGGGCGCGATGCGTCGCTGCGGGCGCACGTCCCGGCCGCGACGGCCGCGCCACTCCCGCACCTGGCCGTAGCCGCCCGTGTAGTGCCCGCCCGACGTACGCTCCGTGTTGCGGGATGACTCCTCACCTACATCACACAAATATTATATATTGCATTTACATATCTAATACTATTCAAGCATTTCTTTACTAATAAGGTGGTTCTTCAATTGATGTTCAATCTTAAATTGTTGCAATTATGTTACATTTGGATTGTTTAACATTGTCCAACTGTTAAGCTAAAGTATACTTAGCAGTTTTTAAGTTTAGAGTAGTAGGAAACTTTAGAATTGGCAAGTTCATAAAAATTAATGTAAGGAAATAAAAAGGAAAATAACACATACACATTCTGCAAGATGTCCAAGAGTTTATTTTAATATGTTGAGAATTATTGTTCTTGCATTCGATACGTCCGTACGTGAGGAACAACAGACAGGGAATACCCCGATTATAGTTGGGGCATTACAAAGGTGCGAACTGTCATACATTTTTATCAGCTCTCTCGCTCACTCTTATGCCAATTGTGCAGCATTGTCACATTGACATTCCTTTGACGTGACAGTTCGCACATTTATAATGGCCCAACTATAGTCATAATAGGTACCCATCAATACCTAGACAATGTAAATAATTATTACAAGTATTGTAATTTGTAATACAGATATCCACATCAAATTAAAACTATAATTCATCACCTAGCTAAGTTATAATTCGAACTTTGTATTAAAAAAAAAAAATTAATGTACCGTTTATATTGGTCTGGTGCCTTATAAATGAGTTAACGAAATAGCTGCCAACAATTTTGACCTAGCATATAGTTACTAGTATCGTAAAGCGTGGCACTGCGACATATCAGTTGCTATGGGGACCGCAAGCAATCAGTGTGTTCATAGGTGCCCTAATTTTAAAGTAGGGGACCTCTTTCACAGGTATACTGACATTTTATTGTCAAAAGAACATACGTAGTACACGTATTCGTTTTATATCTATAATAATAAAAATGAATTGCTGAATGTGTAGCTAAGCTCAAATCTCGAGAGCAGCTGAACCGATTTCGTTTATCCTTTTTTTGTTGCGTTCGTTATTGTTAGTAGAAGGTCCTTTTGTAAGAAAAAAAATTCTAAGGCGAAACTGAAGTACGCAGGGTCCGCTAGATAATAATAATAAAGTAAAATATGGAAGAAAGAGATCACTTTTGTTGTTACTGGCTAAATGTAAAAAAATTCTATTTAAGGGAGAGACGTTATGTTTTTATCCCGATATGACTAGAAAATCGTATTATGAACTTCACTAAATTGTACGTGAGTCGTACGAGAGTACGTTAGAGTAAGTCGCAAGTGGAAATGCAATTAATTAATATTAGTTACAAGTAGCTACTCGTTTCAATGAGTGGGTTTCCCGATTCCTCTACGTCATAATGTTGCTTATGATATTGCACGGATTTATCATTCTACATTCCACATATCACGTGAAAGCATCGATAGTTTGATAGTAACACGAAACTTTGTTAGATGCAACAGGAAAACACTAGATTCCACTAGAATTTCAGAAACTAGCTATTCATAATCAGGGTTTAACCAGACACAGTTAAGTCAACTTGTAATTTAAGGATATCCTATTTCTTATAACTCAATTAGGTAAATGTAGCTACGAGTTGACTCACAAGTTACCTGTTGGTGCACTGCGCTTTTGACATCATTAAGCATTGATGCAATATGAATTCTATGTGTGTATCGCTTAGGTCTATTTTGTTAAAGTGGCTTGGCTTTAAAACAGTTGTTAGTGTTTTTACCCGACTACGTAATAAATTCTATTTACACAATTTACGTGAAGCAACATACTGGAAAATTAAGATCAAGTTTTAATTGACTGCAGTTCGATTAAAAAAATGATTAACGGCTTAGCAACAGTAATCAATGAATATGTGTAAACGTTAGTTAAAGATATATATTTTCCATGGAATCGCAACAGATGTAAATAGTTTCTATCGAGAAAAATATTTCTTGTTGCAATTATATGCATTAAAGTTTCATATTGATTTGTTATGGAATATACGGTGCACATTTTTAAATAAATACAAATTAAAAGTTATACAACTTGTACAAAAACAATGTCATGCCTTTTAAAATTCAGATTAGCCGCTCTACGGATGTTTTAATGGACGGTATTTCTATATTAGTGGATTTGCTTCTCTTTAGCCTTATATGATTTTTTACTCATCTTTCTGGACTTCGCAAAAATATGTTTTCGTTTGTAAATAGCAGTAAATGGGTACAAGTATATAAAGCTACGTGAACTCAGTGCTGCGTAGGCTAGGTAGGTACATGTTTATTACATCTTTGGTGTGCGTTATAATCTATAAAGCGCACTATTCGAGAATATTCGAGTGTGTCATGCCGCCTTACGTGCATTCAAAGAGTAATCGTTTTAAAATAGTTTTTATTCAATACCGACGTAATTTTACGGTTAGTATTAATAGAAAAAGGATTATAACGTCGTTTAATGACTTTATTTATTCACATCTCTGTCTTTTTACGGACATTATTTCACGTGGTGTAGTCCTGGGGCAGGCAGAAACCTCAGTGTGCCATTTGGTACGTACGAGTTTCATTAGTGTGATCTTTTTAAATGCCGTTTTAATTTTGAAGTTCCATACGATACACTAAGTAATACGTACAAATGTAGAATAGTAGATGTATTAACACGAATTTTATCGTCGTCCTATTCGCAGTCGTGAAATAGCATACCATAACGAACAACGAAGATTTTTATGCTAATTTGGAAATTCAACGGACGATTTGCTATCTGAAAGCGGATACTTCTCGTATTTAGATCTCCAAGCTAACTAATAATGTTTTCTCGCTCTATTTACCAACGAGAACAGTAAAATTCTAACCGTAGTCTTAGGTGAGTGCAGGTACTTAAACAAACTGACGTCTGATGATTTTACGTTAAATTTAACGCATTCTAAGACGCAGACGAATTAGTTTTAGTTTTCGATACGACTAGTAAGCCACATTCCGGTAATTTTCCTACCAGAGTAACATGTTTCCATAATAAAACAAGTTTCTGCAAACTTTTTCAATAATACCTTTTTTTTCATTGTACGGTACCTACTAATGCGTCTTGTAGTTACTGCGAGTATACACATCGTTGAGAATGAGCGTCATAGGAATTTTAAAACAAGGTGGTGTGCTAAACTTGTGCGTCTTCAGAATTTGCGCGTCACTGCGAGAGTCGGTCATGATGAGTGTAAATGGGGCGGCATTAACTGTGCGCTATTTTTCTATTTTCTTAGCTTCATATCAGTGTAAATACGCTTCTCGAGAGAATCATACCGATCTATTTACTTATCTCTGGCGTTCTCAAGGTTAAATCATTTAGATATTATTTACAATGTTATCTAATATACCAAGTTAACGTCACGTTAGACATGTACTCGACGCGTTCTATTGTCACCTTTATGATAATGCAATAAAGTACAAAATGATAGCGTCGACTTAGAGGCTATTCCAAACATCTAAATATAACGCAGCAGAAATGTGTCTACAATGGGATTTTATTCTGGATCTACGAAATGTATAGGTTACACGTGTGGAACAGTAAACAGGAACGCAAACAATTACGACATCGTATTTTGACGAAATATTGTTAAACTAGCGTGTTTAGGTGCCTACACGATTTACCTTTTTATTTTATGTGTGGACATAAACTCGTGTAAACAATTTGTTCTACGCTCAATTTGGGAGAGGATTATAACGAGCGCGACATGAGGCACATCACATAAGCTATTTAAAAATATAGGAATATCTTGCTTGTTATCACATCACCGTTTTTAGTTTGCAACAAAACTGCGCATTTGGTGGCGCCAGGAAATTGAGAAATAATATTAAAAATAAAATTGTGGCCACGTGAGAAGTCGCGTGTTGAGAGTAATTAGCAAGCACTGGCCCACTTTTGTGAAGGATATTCTATAATTTGTTAGTGAATGTACTATAACAACTTCAGTACACACAGCCTAGTATTAGTATCATTTGATCACATGTGTGATTTGATCATATGCTGTCGATTTATATGACAAGCTTATTACTGCTATATTCTTAGCTTATTATACCTTCCTACCTTTATATTATACCTTCAGCATGCAGTTTCGCAATACTCAAATCACACTGACATTCCTCAAACATAGTAATGTTTATAAGATAACTAATGTTTAAAGAGTACTATTACCTAATAAAATCACATAAAATAAATGTATATCCATTCAGGAGTTTTTAATTCTATTATAAACAAACAGATAGATAGAAGCAACGATTTTAAAAATATTATGTTTGCTACTTTAACAGAGATATTCCAAGAACTGAATGACACAAGTAACAGCAGTAGTATTCAAATATCAACTGATACTGTCCTGATATTACATACATTGAACTTTTTTACAAGACATGACTTCTTGAGTAATGGAGTGACAACTTCAGATATAAAATGATAAATGTTCATGGTTACTAAGCAGTCTCCAAAACTTTGGTGCACATTAATTTAAACTTTTTTTATATCTCAGTACCCCACAAAATTCATGCAAAAAAATTTAAATTTAATATCAGAGTTAAATTATTTATCTAATACCAAGGTGATAAGGCATTATCAAGTCAATTTGTTGTTAGTGCTTATTTAAAAACAAATCATGGTAGCAGTATTGTTTTTAATTATACAACCTAGCAGCTTTACCGGGTTACCCAAAATTCATACATACAATACATTCATATCTAATATTCAGATATTTTAGCTTCTCTTTTCGTTTTATAGATTCTTATTTCATGCTTTGCAATAGTAATCAATCTAATTAAATTAAAAAGCCACCAATGATAAAAAATCTTCAACAATGCAAAATGAGGGTGGTACAAAATTAGTAAATCTTGTAAGATACTAACGAGAGAAAATACAAACTAAGTAATAAGGAAATTAATTAATGAAACTTAGGTCAGTGGGTCATCTCAGCACTTCCTGTTTACAGATGTAAACATGATAATAACATGCAGCAAAGCAACTAACATTGATAACAAATATAATCTTACCTTTTTCTCCCGACTTGTTGGAGCCAGAGGCATTACTTGAGAGGCTGGAGTCATCTGAGTCATAACCAAAGGCTGTGTTGTCTCCTGCACCCTTGGCGCTAGGGTGGCGGTCGCGGCGGGGCTGCCAGCGGCGCGGAGTGGCATGTCCGGCTGGCGAGCCCCCGCTTAAGCTCTGCAGCGCGTCCAGCGGGTAGTGGCGAGCCGACCGATCCTGTCCACCCATCATGAATATCTGCCCCGGTCCTCCGAAGGCCCCGCTCCCATGATACATCATTGGCGCGCCCTCGTTCATGCCCGCCTCTTTACCCTGCCGGCAGTTCAGGTTATGAGAGAGGTTCACCGGCGAAATTAGACATTTAAATTTTAAGATACCAACCTGTATTTCGACCGTTAAATCCGATGGCGTCCGGTGTGGCGGGCGACTATTGCGTCATAGTAGGCGTAGTAAATTAATTAGAGTATGGTGCGACGTCGAAATCGAGTGATTCTATTTATCTTGAGTATGCCGAAATTCGAGACGATCGTCAAGTGGGACGTTCTTTCCGATTCTATAGCTTCCGGCCTTCAATTGTGTCGATAATAACGTGTCGCTCGCTTCCCACTGTGTGAACAAAACTAGCTATAATTATTTCGACGCCGGTAATAATAAATCTACCCACGAATTATGGCAAATCTGTAAAATCTAATGAGGAAGATCCGCCATGACTTTAGGGAGCAACACTAGCGACATCTGACGGAAATGACTGAAGTAGTACACGTGATCTTATTTTTTTCTACTTCAAATTTCGATGTTCCATTTTGAGCCAGTGACAAAAGTAAAATAATTTGGTTTTCCAGGAATTTGTATATTATATCGGAACAACAATTTTCATGATGAAAAGCTATTTCTATAAGAAAATGAGAAAAACAAACGAAATTTTAATCACATGACAAACATGGTTTAAATGTTTTTTCCTTTTGCAACAATTATTTGACAGTTAGTGCTTGCGTGACAGTGACATAAAGAAATACGTTCCATTTCCAGAACGTCGAATTTGTAGCTTTTAAAAAATACATCTTTGTCTTTCCAATGAGTATTTAAGGTTGCTGTCTTTGTTTAACATAGCGATGTATAAAATGTTTGTTTGTTCCGTTTTACAATCTGTTTGACAGTATTTGCCAGACACACGTAAAAATAATAAAATTACGTACAAAAATAATTCATTTCCAGATATAAATCATTTGTAGCGATAATGAGAAATATTTCAGAATATGTGCAATTATTAAACCAATTATAAAAACTATTTAAAGAGTGATGACGTTGAATTGGGACTATGTAACCTTAAAAGTGTTAAAAGAAACAAACTTTGCTTTCTCATTGTTTGATAATCATCGTTATCTGGGCAGAACAGTGCGTTGATATGTCACATTTTGGAGATTTTATGGACGGTGTGCCCGTTAAAATATCGGAGAAGTATAAGAGGCCGCTGAGATTTGATTTACCTTATACAGTAAACGAATGTCCAATTAGAGCTCAGGCTGTCGTGGACAGCGCTAATTATTCGTGTGCGTTTGAAAGAAACGTCCTTGCCAAACTTAAGGAGCTTAGAAATGCGAAAGAAACGAAGAAGAATGAAAGGCGGCATCGTCTCCAGTTGCTGCAGGAGGCGGAGCAGAAGAGGCTCGATGCGATAGCTGCCGCTGAGGACGAGGAGCGGCTCAAACAGCTGAGTGTGTCCGAGGTGTCATACCCTAGCACTGATGAAATAAGCCCATTGTCTCCTGATGAGAAAGCTGATAAAAACTGTGATAACATTGCTAAATTAGATAAACCATTAGAGCATACAGATGTGACCACAAGTATTGACTACCCTACTACTAGTGCTGCAGTTGAGTCTCAGCTTAATATACTGCAGCCTATACAGGTGAAGACACATCTGCAGGAGAACAGCCTACTAGATGATCCTGACCCCCTACAGAATTTGAAGTTAAATACAAAGATTACTAAAATACAACATAACCCTAACATAGACACGCTAACATTTAGAGATTTTGAGAATGATACATCCAGTCCCTTTGACAATGTGGAGCTGAAAACTATAAATGATATGGAGTTGCTGGCACAGGTGCTGCAGAGTCAGAAAGATTCCACAACAAGCTGTCAGCCCCAGCCAAGTTATGGGCCAGAACATAGCTATACCATTCCTAACTGTGCCTCCCAACCACATGTGGAGGGGGTCACATATCTACCAGCACAATATTTAGATCAACCTATCCAAAATTCAAATATGATGTATGGATCTCCACAACATTATCCATTGTCCAATGGGTACTATATACCTACAGATAATGAAGCTGCTAATATGTATATGCATAACTACCAATACTATGTTCCTCCTAATCCGTACACTCCTGTAGAACCTTATTATGGAAGTCAAATGCCAACAACATCAGCGGATATTGGTCATGTGCCAAATGGTTCATACATTCCACAGCCTTACTACTACCACCAGTACCCTCAAGTCCCTGTGGCATATCCACCAGGGAATGCGCCGGAGGCTTACCCGGTTGTGTTGCCAAATGAGAGCTCAGATCAAACTACAGCAGCTACAGGCCCACAGACTGCAGTGAAATCTAGGTCCAGGAGTGTGCCAGATATTGTAAGGGAATTGAATGAAGAGTTGGCTAAACTGCGGATGAGTGAGAGATCATACAATGCTAGCCCAGCTCCTAAAAACCAATCTCCACAAACATCTACTCCTGCTCCCGCTACAAGTAGTGACAGTAAGGTGGAGAAGAGGAGTAGGAAAAGAACAGAGAACTTGCCAAATCCATTTGAGAAGTTGTCACCAAAGTTGCAGGACATGTGTAGGAAAATTCATGGAATGGGTTTTCCTCTTGACAGGGTAGCTAGGGTGTGTACCCTTGTAGGTGATAATGACAAGAAAGTGAGTAATACCTGTACTTTATATATTATTCTATTTAGCAACAACATTATTTATAGACTCAATTAGCTATTATATTTGATGTGGGTCCACAAGCTTGATCTCTCGGGGTACTTGGCATAAACCCTAGTTCATTTATTCATTTTATTTATTCGGAATAATCAGAAAATTATTTGAAGACATTTGAGTGTTTTTAGCACATTAATATGCAGTAGCTTTCTGCAACTCAATCGATATCAATGCCATTTCAATTGAACTCTATTTTTGAGCGGTTGATTGGTATTGATTACTTGTATATACTGACGGTCAATGTATGCAGTTAAACAAGTATGCAAGTAGACAAGTTTATTGGTAACTATTGTGAAATATGACTATCTAACTATTTCTTATGGGGATGATGTCAAAATTGTAAGTTCCATCCTAGGAACCGGTTTATTTAACTTGTTTTGGAATATCAATTGCCTTTACATGAAGAAGACTAGATGTGAGAAAATATAAAATGTAAACCCTTTTGTCAGATGGCCTGTGTATAAACACAAGCTCTAATAATATTATGAAAACATTAAATAGATGTGTTATACTGTAAAACCATTGATGGCGACTTCTCGCGTCCGGCCCTAAAGCGGGTCATGATGCGGAGCGAGGGGGACTGGGATGCCGTCTCCTCCTTTTGAGAAGCAGTCATGCTAGCTAAGGAGGAGGCGGGACGCGTGAGGCAGCGAAGCGCTGCCTCCTCGCAACCCAGCTATCGCGAAGGACACGCCGGGCGTCGGGGATCGCGAGACGATCTCCGGCCACCGTAAGCGCGGGCCTGTGGACGGCGAGCATGGGTGGCTCGCCGCCCGACCAGAACCAGACCCGAGCATACGGTGCATCGCTTTCCGCGTGTGCCTCAAAGAGCTATCAGACCATCACGGATGGGGCCCAATAGGGCTGATGCCGATTCGGAGTCGCGGAGAACCTAATGGTCTACCGGGGCTCCGGCTCGAAGTGCAGGAGAAGGATCGGAGTGGTTTTTAGTCAGTAAGAGTCTGACACTCCCTCTCGCCTCACCTTGGCGAGAGCAGTCATTCGATGATTTAACCCGGTTAAAAACAAAATGCTGTAAAACCACCTAGGTACCTATGAATATGTGTTATATATTGGTTGTATGTAACCATGTATGGTGTAAGATGCAATAGCGGCAATGCATCTCTTAAATTTGTGTGTTGCTATAAATCAGTGCATAATCAGAAAACTAGTAGTTAAAGCATTTTTATTGTTCTATACCGCAAGCCAAAACTATCCAACTACTTTGAAGTTTGTTCAGCTGTTGAAGTGCAGAGTGTTTCCTTTTAGGGATTGTTCCCACTCGCCCCCAACTCGACCTCGCCGACCCCTCTAGCGGCAGAGGCGAGTGAATCCAGTACGAAAGACTATCGACGGGTCGGGTTAAATACTTTCGTTTGCTAGTAGTTTTAGACCAGTAAATAAATCACAATCCACAAGAGAGAGGAACAGTGCAATCCGCACAGTCAACCTTCATTAGTTAATTTAAATGTTATACTTACTGTGAAGTAGTTAGTAAAAATTCTGATAATATAATAAACCAATTATGTAGCTTATTTCGAGGCCGATAACAGAGTTTACTTAAACTCATTAGTTTGATGTTGGTACCCAAATCACATTACAACAAGCAACCTCATTATAATGGAATGATAAAATGTCTGTGTCAGGTTTCTTTTCAAACCTTTTAACTCTCAGCATACAACGAAAATCGGAGAATTTTAAAAACGACGTGTAAAAATGACGACTACTCCGAATTGATTGTGTTGTAACCGAAATGTTTACTGCTTTTAATACTAACTAAATAATTGATTTTTTATTTAACTTATATTGACTAGTGAGTCTCAAATCAGGCCTCAATGCAACAGGACAGTTCTTTTAACAAAAAATGTTTTTCGAATTCCAGGTGATCGAAGGTCTATTAATACTCGGTGATCTAATGGACCTCGGCTTCCCAGAGGGCAGGGTGTCCGCAGCGTTAGCTAAGCACGAATTTAACAGGGACAAAGCTTTGGACGAGCTGGTACCGTAACAGAGTAAGAAAACCCCGAATATTTGTAAGAGGACTCTAGAGAAATGATTTCTCCAGAAGGGAATCAAGGATACTCCTGTAAGTCAGGTTGTGACTGACAGAAAATGGCGGTTTGACAAAATGGAACTGATAGTGATAAGAATAGACTTACCGGCTTTGAAGCCGTGTCTATCAGTCTTTAAACAGCACAGTATACAGCGAGTGTTCGGAATGGTATAGAGAAAGGTCTATGAACTGATAGTGTCGGGATTATGATGCATTTTAATATTTCGTAGTTTGAAATATAGAGTCTGTAGGTACTGGTATAAATGATAGTCGATGTCTTCTAGCAGATGCAGAGTTGCCGTTACTATAATTATTATTTCCGCTAATTGCTATGATTATAAAAGACATGTTTTAATTTTTCAAAGCGCGGTTTTTATCTTAACTTACTATGTTTAACAATTTAAGTACTGATGGACATAAACGTAAAACAACACCACATTGTTTTTTTATAAAGTAAGAGATGAATCAACTTCTGATTCATAAACTTCACAGAAGTAATTGTTTGTCGCTATGTTTTTCCATTTTGCGTATAAATGACGATGATATAAATGGCGATGTGTGAGAGAGTATAGTATTTATTTGCTAAATCTGTTACTTGAGTAAGTGAAATTAATTCGAAAACACTGAATAGATTACTTTTTGTAGTAATTTAATTATTTTTTATTGTAAAAACTAAAATTAAAGTCGCCATTTCATGTTATCCTCAACTTCAAAAATGTTATCCTAAGTTACTGTTTAAGTAGAACAGTCATACCGCTAGACAGGTTTTGACTAAAAAATATGAGCATCCACTTCACTAAAGTCATCACAATGTAATATAAAAAAAACAGCAATAATTAGTTTCCTATTATTTCTAGGGATGAAACGATACCATTGAGGTATCGATACTTTTACTCGATACGGTATCGGTCGTCAAGTATCGATACTTACTCGGTATCAATTGAAAAGTATCGATACTTACTCATATCGAATAGTTTTTGGAAAATTGAGTAAAAACGCTTTATTATATAAAAACAAAATTATTTTTTAAATTTACAAAAAGAAGTCTGCTTTTGTAGCGCTTCCTAAAAAAATCAATTTATCTAAATGCTTGCCTGTTAGGAAAACAATAATGACGATGAAGTAAATATGGCGGCGGTGAAGCGGAGGCGCTGCTTGACTGTTTTTTTTTTCGGGCATAGACAAACAAGCCTTGCAACAAAACAAACAAAAAAATTGACAAGCGAAAAATGGATGCGTTCAAAAACTTTAATTTAAGATATACATTTTTTTAAATCAATGTTAAAATGATATATTGATTTCGGCATAATTATACTGATATGAGTACTTTTGACCGATACCTACTCGATACTTATTTTCAAAGTATCGATACTAAAAGTACTTGGTATCGGAGAAAAGTATCGAGTATGTACTTGTATTTACTTGTATCGTTTTATCCCTAATTATTTCATCAGATGGACTTAGCTCTTCTAAGTTGTCTTGATTGGATATATGACAATATAATAGCAATTTATTAATTTACTTACTCTATTGGCTCAGTGACACATAGTGGATCTTGGCAGCTGGGCTTCAATACGAGATTTAACTATTTCTTGCGGTTCTTGGCGCAGTTTCTCGCCAATTACTCGAGGCTTTCCTCAAAACCATCTCCATCTTTCTAGCGGTACCTTGATCGACATTGAAATGCCAGTCGTCTGGTAGGTTTAAAGGTTATACGCTTTCCTTGCACTTCAATCGTCACCCATTTTTTTTGATGTGGCTTAGCCCAACTTAAAATTTTTAGAATGATCTGTACTAAAAGTCCCTAAATCGAAATTAGCCAGAACAAACTATGATCTCTTATTAATCTGTGCCCCTCAGCTCCTTCTATGAATGACTAGCGTATTAACCGCAACACAATTATTTGTTTACTTAATCTCAGTTAATTTGTCGCGGAGAACCTAACGGGTTACCGGGGCTCCAGCTCGACGTGCAGGAGAAGGAACGGAGTGGTTTTTAGTCAGTAAGATTCTGAGACTCCCTCGCCTCACCCAGGCGGGTGCAGTCATTCGATGATATCCCCCCTTTAAAAAACAGGCTCAGTTAATTTCCACAATTATTAAAAATGTTTTCTCTCAATAACAGATTATTTAAATCACAATAACGGTTGATTTGTGATTGCCAAATAAGTTTAGTCTTCGTAAAAAAACATGGGATTCCATAGATATTCGTATTAATTTGTAATTTGTAACTTTTGCATAACTTTGAAATTCTTTGCAATTTTATTCAATTATGTTGTTAATATTTTGTGTCTAGGTTATTCCAAATTATAGCCATTTATTTGTTTGTGAAACATTTGGTATGCAAACCATGCAGTCGTAGAGTTTACAGTTGATACTTGATAGTTTTGATGTAAAACAGAATGCATCTTTAGTGGACATCAGTAACATTAGCCTACCGTAAACAGTTTTCTTCAATATTTTTGACTTTATTGCAATATAGTAAAATTTAAAATCTTTGAAAAGACCCTTACCTTACCTTTTGGAGTTTTAAGCCCCTCAACGTTTCGAGTTATTAATTACCATCGAGAATGGAGTGATCTTAAAAATCACGAATGAAATTATTTCTTATGGGTTGAAGTAATTGGACTTCCCTGTGTTTTCAGACACGCTAACGTCTATATTATTTGATGGAAACCGTAAGGTAATACTTTATTTGCACCGTGGGGGCTCCGGAGCAGGTCTCTTCAGAGGACCCGATGCCCGTTGCAGGTGCTGAGGGTGGTACTAGTAAGGTACGAATCCCACACTCCTTAGTCTTTCTCCCCAAAAAGCTACGTGCCTTTTGAAGGTTTCCCCCCAACATCAAAAAAGGTAATACTTTATTAAGGGAGGAGCTTACTAAATTATTAGGGGAGGAGTTTCTAAAAGTAAATATTATTTTTTGATTAAAAGCTAATTTTTTTTTCATTATAAATTATTTTTACCATGTACTACTAGCTACTCCCATAAAATGAAACTTATAACTTGAGTAGTCAAAAAAAGTGGGTGAAGGTAATTGATTTGGATCCTCCACTATAAGTAAGACTGTATTTTAAAAAGTGTACTTAGGTCAGCAATACACACATCTTCTAACGCATACAAACTTCACAGCACATTCTAACAGTTTCCGTAAAAGATAATTAAAAAATATCTGTATTGTCTTTTCCTGTTCTATTATTTTATAGTGCTTGACGGAAGTAGAGACAGATACACTAAAAACCGTTTAACACGATGGCTGTAAAACATATTATCGCATCTAAGAAACCAAACACTGATGTCCGAATATCGGAAATGTATTAAGAATTCAACAAGCAATTAAGATAGTTGATCGTGTTCCGTCTAATAGGAAACATGTACTTACTAATATGTACAAGATCTGTTGATAGTTATCTTAAAATTGTCTGTTTTAGATGGGGATCTTTGATTTAAAGATAATAATGTTCTGATACCTATTTCGTTTTCTGATATCATTTAGGTACGTATGTCATTACCAAATTACCGGAACAAGAAAACATCACGACATGTGTAGTCTCATTTCGTATTATTAATAATACACAAATTCTGCAAGTTAGAATGTAACGGTTAAAGCACTTTAACTTTTCGAGGATGCTCGAGAAATTTTATGTTATTCGGCTTACTCATGTAATTATTTGACGAGGAATTCTACTAGTTTCAAGCTATGCTAGAGGCTCATATTCATGAGCAGCCTTTCGCAACATGCGACGCGGCGACTGTCGCACGATGCTCGATTAGTTTCAAGCCTCACTGGGACTTATAATCATGAGTTGATCTTAGCCTCGCAACTGTGTCAACTCGCGAACAGTTCTGTCAGTAAGGTGCATACAGATTTTAATTACAATAGTTAATTTTAAGCAGTTCTCTAGTTTCTTAATTTGTCAAATCCCATATAGTTACCTACCCCCAAAACTATGGAACAACAACGGAAATAACTAATTCAATAGAAATGAGCTATATCAGTGTTCTATCTTATCGAAACATTATTGTACCATTAGAAAAATTATGCATTTATAGCATGTGAGATATGATGTATGATAAATAAAATAATTGTTGTGCCTATCGACTTGTCAACATGGATTGTTTTATATTCTTGCCTCTTGGAAATGATATAGATAATTGTTTACCTTCCTAGTTCCAACCCTGTATATTTGTGAGTTTAAAAGTAACTTTTAAACTGTTTAAAATAATATATTTCAAGAAGTTTTAATATTGTAAAGAATTAAAGCCGCCATTTTTAGGCCCACGTCTCAAATGCACTGGAAGCACCATCCGTTGTATTTTTTACTAATAAAATAATGTTTATATTGTAAATATCACTCGTGCAATTTTGTTATATTTTGTATATTTCTTCTTTCATCGCAAACACTTGGTTTTTAAAAGTTTTGTTGCCATACGAATTTTACGCATACCATGTTAATCCGTATGGCAATAAAAGCTATAATCGACTGGATATCAAGTTGATTTTAAAATGTGCTCCTTGAGAATCATAAAAGATGCATAAGTCACCATATTCATTACTTCAAAAATATGTTTATGAGATTAATTGGCCCGCCTTTATAATGGTGCTCCCACACTATTGTTAAGAATGTTACCACATACTAATACATTAGTAGACATTTTCTGCGGATGATATGATTTTAGAAAATGTTTACTAATTAAATTTTTAGCAGTAGCGCGGAAGTACCATCACATCGAATTGAGACTATTCTTTTGTTTAACAGTTACAATCAGTCGATGCTATCGCTAAAGTTACGTAGATATATTGTTCAGATCTAATTAAATGACTTAAGTAGACTTTATAATTTAATTTTTCACTTGGCAAGCGTTGCTAACATAAGTATTTTGTTACATTTTTATACAAAATTCTCTTAACACAGCTATTTTTTACACAAAAAGAGTTAAAGGTATGTATAAACTAGTAATAAATAGAGGAAATATTGTGATTTTATTATTTTGAAGTGTTTTGTATGAAAATGTAACTTAAAAGCTCACAATAAAGCTTATAATATATTATTTTTGTATGTAGATATAAAAATACTCTAGTGTAACTATTAAATTGAGTGAATATACCTTTTGGGTGATTCTGTTGGGGTTGAGTCGAGTGGGAGTGATAGAGAAACGAATGGTGTGAAGAAAGTGCAGTGCCCATATATTTGGTACTCTATGCTTAATGAATTTGAGCCAAATTTTGATCTAAGACCATCTGTTAGATGGCGTTGTAAATAACAAGGTAATTTTACCTGTGATGCATAAACTGCACTTTCAATCTAACTAAATAAATAAAGAATTTATTTTCGGGCATCCATCGAATTAATTAGCAATAATTTTTACCCCAGCTCGACTCCATCTCAACAGACGTCCATCTTAACTATGGAACAGTGTTCCAAACGAGGTTTTTATTTATTTGTAGTATAAAGAACGTTACTAGTAGGAAATTATAAGTGAAGGCTTCGGTAGAGTGGACGGAGGTTTTATACATTACAGCTTCACAAACGAAATGTATAAATAAAAATTGTTATTTTCATTTTGTGGTTTTATTCCTAAGGTCTCGACTGCACCAGGACGGAACCGCAGCTGTTTTTAACCTCTCTAAACAAAAAGGATTCAAATGTATTGAAAAACGGCTGCGGGACAAAACCATAAGTCCCATTCGGTTTCTTGTTTTACAAATCTACGCGGTGAAAAACCGCTGCAGTTCGACTGTAGTGTAGCCGTATTGTAGGGGTGAATGGCAATAATTAGTACTAGTATCTAATTAGTAAGTAATTAGCATTTGAACGAGTCTAAATAAATATGTCGGTATTGTATGCCCACTCCGAAATGTTTGGGAACTATGCCAAATAGGTACAGTTAGATATAAAAATAAAATCTAACTATTTCAAAATAGTCACGTGTCACTTAAAATCTGATGAATCTGTACTCTGTGTCTTCTTCCTTTCTAATAGGTTTTAAATGAAATATAATGCGACTTCTGTTCCTAATTAGTGGATAAAACTAAGGTCTAAAACATAGATTAGATACTTATATCACTATGATACAAATGTTGTACCACAAAAAGTCTAGTGTTATTCAAACCGCAGTATCCCAGATGCGCGGTCCATCGACAAGATGTTCAATCATCAAACAGATAGTTGAAATTGTTAATGTGCGTTGCAAAATAAAACTAGCGAAACCGACACTGGCAAATGTGACAAGTCAATGACCATTGTTCTTTGTTTTAAACATGACCCGAATAGTCTAGTGTTTGTCTTCCAACAAACATTTAATTAATTAACATAGTCGCCTACTCACTGAGTTCTGGTTACCGCACCAACAAAAACACAGGAAGGGTTTTTGTACAAACTGCAGTGCCGACAGACAGTACCCATGCCATGCAAATGATCTTGAACAACTCAACACCACATCTGGTTTTAATTTTCCTGTAGTCTTTCATCATTCCAAACTGGCCCTTCATACCTTGCAATAAGGGAGAGATGGTTTTGGTTACATTGTTCCATTTTGCGTTATAGGTCAATGCCAAGATTGTGATTAATGAATGCGTGCACGCTTTCGGTTGTTTAAATACTGGCGCCGTGTTTGTCTAAGGTGAAGTAAGAAGCGCAATTTTTTTGTACAAAAAAATATTATTTTTATTTAATTTAATACTTTTCTACACTATTTTTTTAAAAGATGAGTATATAATTCAGCGGCTTTAACCAGACTTTCATTCTGTTTGTAACGTTGAAGCATTTGAACTTAGACGTTTTTGCAATTATTTGCAAGCGATACTTAATGCTATTGCTTTATTTTGTAACAGCCTATTCAAGTAAAGGAACTCGACTTCCTCTGATCTGGCGTAGTTCCTGGACTTTTGCAAATAGGTCATAAAATGTAGTTTCCGCGAGCCGGTGACCCACCAGACAATGGGCGACCACCGCATTGTCTATTGTCATCACCGGCCAGACATGCCGCGATGAATGGGGCAAGTTCATTCCGACCGGCCCACATTAGCCATCTGACAGCGACGCAGGTAGAGCGATAGCGCGGGCGCGAGTGAGACCGAAGAAATACGGTGTGCACGGACACTCGGAATTACCGCTGCTTGAGTTTTGTTTTGGAACGGTCCAGTTGCTTGTCGGGCGGCGCACGAGTCGAACTGTTCCCACGCGCGATACGATTAGCTCGACGCGGTGCAACGTAACATGAACGGGTCGCATTTCTATACGCGCCGCGCCTCACCGCGCTCGCACCGCCGATAACATCTGCGAAACCAATATTTAGGCCGGCGATATCGTGATAGGGTTCGAATTCGTGCGCGACATTTCGCCGGCATCGCGCGGCCATGTGATCGCTCCCCGACCGATGGGAGCGAAAATCGAACAAAAAAGCCGCCTGCTAATGTCTACCCCTCCCGGTCGCTACAAAAAAGGGATAAAAAGGTTATTCCTGGAATGCACACATGTGGACGCCGGGTAAAAGTGGGTGTTCGTATTGAATCTGCAGTGTTACCACGATGCCTCGGAGGAGCAGGTGGATGCATTTGGCCGCGGGGGTCGCTCTCGGCGTAACCTTCGGGATCTTTCTCAAGTTGTGTTTAAGGACTTCGTCCAGGACGACGATTGAGCCATGTCCGGAATCGGCAAAGTTAGTCGATGCCGACCCTCTCGCCCTGATAGGCTTGTTGCCAAACGAGACTGTTCACAACTCGAACAGGACATTAGTGTTCGTGGGTGTCATGACAGCTGAACAATATTTAGGTTCTAGAGCAAAAGCAGTGTATGAAACCTGGAGCCAGGACTTGCCTGGTCGAATCGCGTTTTTCAGTTCGGAAGTGTCGCGTGCGCCTGGTTTACCTTTAGTTCCCTTGCGTAATGTGGACGACAGTTATCCTCCGCAGAAGAAGTCTTTCTTGATGTTACTGTACATGTACGAGAAGTATGGGGATAAGTTCGAGTGGTTCATGCGTGCGGATGATGACGTGTATGTGAGAGGTGATAAGTTGGAGGAGTTTTTGCGTTCGGTGGACAGCAGGAAACCTCAGTTTATCGGGCAGGCCGGGCGAGGTACTAGTGATGAACGAGATGCGCTGGCTCTGGACTACAATGAGAACTTCTGTATGGGTGGGCCGGGTGTATTGTTCTCTCGGGAGACGTTGAAGAGGGTGGCGCCTCACGTGAAGTACTGCCTGAAGCACCTGTACACGACGCACGAGGATGTGGAGCTGGGCCGCTGTGTCGCCAAGTTTGCCGGAGTGTCGTGCACGTGGAGTTATGACGTGAGTACTACTATATTGTACTATGCTTTACTTTAGGGCCGACGTAAACAAATGACATCACATACAAGTCACAACGATTTGTGTCGCGAAAGATAGTGGCTGTACCTATCGCTTACCTATCTATAAACATGAATTATTATTATCATGTGTATTTCGAAACTCTGGGTTTATCGCTATCGTTTGATTCTAATTTGATACACAGCTAGATGAATTACTAAGGAATAAAGTAGGTATGAAATTTTATTGTTCGTACCTTATGATTGTCTATATCACCTTACAGCTGTAGGTGAAGTTTGTCTAACATGGTCTAATAGTGGAACCATTACCGAGTAATTGATCAATATTTAATCTGGTAAAACGATCTGCGTACGTAAATCAATATCAGGATTTTTTCTGTATAGTTTTTATGTTCGAAGTATTTAGATATTAATACAAAAAATATTGGAATAGATATAAATAAAATAGAGGATTTAAATAAAATTTAAATGGATTTGGAGTGCCTTAAAAATTCTGTTTATATGCCAGTGCTTAAGGCTTCTCATTTGATTGTGTTGACAGCAAAATAATTAAGTATGATGAATCGTTTTGTATTGTAGTTTATAAGACGCAATTTTGTTTTTCATAAATAAAAAAATTAAGAGATTTAATAAAGGATTCGTCAATACCTAATCGTAAATCGTCGGGTTACTGGTATGTGGCACTAGAACGTTTAGTAAAATTTTAACAAGGCAAACATTGTTAAAATTTTGATGAACAAGGAAATCTATGTAGGTATTTACCTAGTTTACTCAAAAGCAATTATTCGACGATTCATTGGGCGTAAAACTATTCTTATTGGCCAGTGTTTTTCAGTTCAATTGTAGGATCAGTGACCGCGACAACGCAGGTTGGCCGGTTGACTTTACGGTATTTTTAAAGACATTAAAAATACAATTTACCTTAATACTTACCTTGAAATAATTTCGAGGCGTTTATAATTTAAGTAGGTACTTGGGTTACAATCCTTAAATCTTAATATATAGTAAGTTGTTCTACAAAATAATGTTAGAACAGCTATACTTTATTGAATCCCAAACAGTGTCATTCATAGGACATTTATTTTACTAAATGACTAAATATTTAAGTGTAGTGTGGGTACTTAAATGCCGACTTACAATTATGTTTGGGACAAATCAAACAAAAGACAAGATCATGAATGAGATACATGAAAGGCAGAAGATAAACATGAATAACTCGATTGTATGTTAAGGGAGATAATTACGAAATGTCAGAAAATAAGGTTTGACTTGGTTTAATAATAATTATTAGAACATAACAAGACATGTTTAAATCGAAGAAGCAACGTAATTAGACACAGGAAAAATTAATAGATCCAAAAATTAAAGACGAAAGTCAAAATTAAAATGATTTAAAAGTATTTGAAACGGTTTTGATAACATTTTTAATACATTTGGAATTATTCCTATGTTTAAACGAAATGAAGTCGATTCATATCAACGTAAATTATTTTATCGGGGTAATAATTGATTCGGCGACCAATTAAAACGTTGATATTAGGTAGTTGTGCCAATTTGTGATTTAATAATGTGAGAAAAGGCGATAATATCGGTTGCCGTCATATCCTGTGGTATTGTAGAATCGTTTATGGATATTGATCAGTGTATGTTAGCGCCATTTTATTTCAATTCATTTGTAAATGAAAATTATCATATTGAATTTTACTTATATGTCCAAGACAAGACTTTTGTCCAAGTTTACTTGATTGAAGTAACGATTCTCTCTCTTTGTTTTACAGAGAGCTAAAACAGTTAATTCCTCATCATTATTATCATCATCATCATTCTATTAGCCATAAGACGTCCACTATTAAGCATAGATCACCCTTAATAATTTCAAGTACGGTTATTTAGAAGTGACATGCAATCAGCCGCTCACCCTTCGACTAAATCAAGTAGTTTAATTATTTTTGGGGGTTTAAAAGTAGGAGATACGTTCTGTAACTTCTGTACCAGTAGCACACTTATCATCAGCAACATGACATGCGCATAACAAAATAATAAGAACCGTTACATTTGCTCTTGTTTCCACGACTCCACTCCATTCCGAGCGGTTGCGTCGCACAACGAAAGTGTTACAATTACTTAATGGCTGCCACGTGTGTCTGCTATTTATTTATCTAAGGGTGCATATTTAGGAATATCAAGTTCATTGGAAACTATTTTTTTACCAATCCTCTTAGCCTGTCATGGTCTTTTACTTTTTATTTTGGTGCGTGTACTTGGGACGCAGGCATTATCGTGTTGGATCCTTTTTGGTGGTTCGTTACTGTAGGTTCTGGCTTGCTAAAGTTGCAGTCGGCTCGGTTTTATTTAGAAAAAAAAACAGGGTTTACACATGGTAGGAAATTTTTGGCTGTAATTATTCAACAACTACTAATCCTATGAGTAAGAATATGGATATACTGATCCTTCTCCATATTCTAACCGATTTAATAATACTTAGAAATTAATTATGTACTTTGTACAAAGTTAATATGATTGAAAATTCAGTAAATTTTGTTGGGAAACAAAAAAATAATCTGGGATTCCTGGAGATTCCTAGCTTCTGAATAGGTGCTCAGGTAGCTCCTACAAAAAATGTATTTGGGTTCGTCTTTGTTGATGAATATTGATTTTTTGTTGGTCTTTTTAATTTCACCAATTCATCATTCGTTACAATGGGCGCCTTCGTTTAGTCACTCCAAAATGTAGTAATGAAACCTATTATAAATACGGCCAAGAACAAACCAAATGTTATCTTTTGGGTATGACCCCAAAGATCATTGTTATTTATTTTTTTTATTTCTATTTTTAATGACTTTTCTTGGTGAGTCAACTTCGGGGTTCATTATTTAACAATTCTTTCCTTCTCATTTTCTATTTGCAAGTAAACTTCATCCAGAATTTATTATTCAGTCCATTATTATTTTAGTCTTTCTATGTCCACGTGTGGGTTTTTATCTCCGACTTTGTATAAGTAAAGCATAAGTCTGTATGTGCTAAATTGTCTGCCCCTTTTGATCCGTATTCATTAATTTTGCGCACGTACAGGAACCGTTGGCTGATCTTTGAATCTTTTGCTTCTATCTAGTCTATAGTGTTCATCTGTAAGTCTTTTTTGATTATATAAGCACTTACTTTTCTTATTTTGGACGTTCACTTTGTAATGACTTCGGAATTTGACTATGACTTTGTGCCTGGTTTCTTTCCATCAACTATACCATTCAGCTTCACAAAAACTTGTATACCAATTACGTTTTTCCTCTTACAGTTTAGCCTACCTACAGCGTCGTACGTCTGTTACGTATGTTCAGCAAAAACTGTTAAAATGAAAGCAAAAACAATATTATCTTAAACGTGAAGTAATTATGTATTCATAATGTTTACACAACAACTGGTAAACACTGATTTATATTTAAATTTTTGACGTTGGATTGTTACGTCGGTTCTCAGATATGGCCGTTGAGCACAAGGCCTGGGGTTTAAGTAAAATATTTTTAGGTTTCGTAATTCTCCTCACTCCATTCGAAAAGTGGTATTATGGTGGCAAGTGTCTAGTGTTAGATGACCATATAAATGTTACTGGGCGCAAAATTAAGAAAAAGGCAGGCAGGAAAAGCACTTCGATGCTCAGTGACTAGTTGTATATTTTTTGCATTAAGAAAACTGTCATTTGTATTAGCTACTTAATTATAAATCCACTTTGTACTATAAACATTCCTTATGCTCGTTAATACAGAGTGCCAAGTGTGACTGGTAGGTCAAAGATCACATCTTTATCTAGTATTAAGCTAATTCTTTCCTGTGTGTAGTCTACTTAGTTCAGTCGCGTGATCTACAGTCATTGGCCCTAGGGCGTTGGTATAATGCTTGACCTCGAGTGCATTTTTAACCTTATAATTATATAGACACTAGACAGGTAACAATTTTATGTAATTTTATTTTTATGATGATGACCGTATTTTATTCATCATTCATTCATTCTTTTTGGAATCTTTCCCGCCATAAAGCAATAGAAGAATTAAAAATATTGTGTAGTAAATTAAACATTATATCAAAACATAGTTAATTAAACTATCTACACTTAAACTTCTTTATGCTCACACGTTTTTTGTTCGCTGCGGGCGCCAATAAAAGCTGAAGGAGTAGACGTACTGAAGGAGCTATCAATGAAAAAATATGATTGCTTGGAACACCCGTTTAAAATCTAGACTCAAGTTCGACGTTAGTTTAAACTAAGGTTATGTCTGTAGTCGTAAAGTTCAAGGTAAGACGCTGTTTATTTTAACTCGTGTTTCCGCAATACAGGTTTGCACGAGGCCTTAGAAAAAATAATCGTCTGACGAACAACTCTGATTTATAGACGATAGATCAGAACTTTATAAATTCCGGACTAGTTTTTTAGTACTCATCCAAATGTGTTTATGAAATTGAAAGTTAATATGTTTGGTGCGTAAGTTCGATCCATATCTTTTTATAATAGACTACTAAGTAATAAAAACCGTAGATAGATGTTCAAGACTAGATAATTTTGCGTTGCTATCTCGCGGACTAGAATTTTCTGTCTAGCATCAACACTAGAATATTGATTGTCTAACCACAGTTAGACTACATTAGTATGATAATGACAAAGAGTCATGAATGTGTCTCAATCAAATTAAGTGGCCACATTAGTCGTACGGTACAACAGTTTGCGAAGAACAGTTCACACTAATCTGAATAACATGTCTTTCTCGTTAGAGACAGCATAAAATTATGTTTAAAGGTTAATTTTCTAACTGGTAATTAGCACTTTGTAATTGAAGAGCATTGTCTTACACTGTGGTGCCTTTAAGCGACTTAGTTTACATCCAGATAGGTAGATATATTGGACCTATCATATTATAAACAGTTACTTAATATTTTATATCACGACATTGTCCTTCTGGTTGCCAAAAATAAAACAATAGGTACTACATTGCA